CAGAAAGTGGTGACGAAGGCAAACGACAAAACATGGTTAGAGAACAGGAAAGGAGGGGAGAGGACAACATTTTAGGGAAGAAAATGTCCCGTCACGATTATAGTTCATCCTGACAGATTCAAAGAGATAACGGATGTGAAGTACCTATCAGAAAGAATTATCACAATGAGACTGACAAACGTTTGCCCAGGTAGACCTAATGTGCAACCATGCAACGACTCATACCCAGAAGAATAACGCGGTCAGTTTTATGAAGAACTCGGCGAAATAGCACTGGAAATTGACCATAGGGACAATATCATTATAATGGGCGACCGACAAGAACACTGGGAAATATACTACGGACCCCGCAGCGACAAGGACTCGAACCAGAACAACTATGGCGAAATGCTCTTACAGCTCTGCACGACCTAGTCATAGCCAATGCATTTTTTAACACAGAAAAATTCAAGTACCAACATGGTGCAAGTGGAACGATTAGTCCAAGTCAGCTCAAATTGATTACATTATAACTAAAAGAAACTACGAAGCTTCAAGGACTCAGATTGGACCTCAAATTAAATGACGGTGCCAATATGGAAGAAAATGGGTACCATACAGAAATACAGAGCCATGATGGGTTTTGTTGTTTGTTTTGTTTGTTTTTTGGACGACAACAAAATTTCTGAGCTAATAGAAAATCAGCCAGGATTTTGTCATTACCAAGAACTTAAAACTTCTGTAATTCCAAATCGACGTCGTAAATAGTTCAAAGTAGGGTTATCGCAATAACGTATTAAAATCAGATGGATTTAATATTTCGAGTTCTAACAGCAAAATTCTCTCGTTTTCAAGGTAGAGTGCTTGCTGTGACTGAACTGGTGCCGTGATTTCAGTCAGAAATGACGGATATGAATTTCGGGTATATGGAAGGAGGGCTCTTTTTTCATCGCACCGGAATTTCGTACTCGAAATTCGTACCCGAAGTATTGCCAGCTTAAAACACACGACAAAGCACAAACCGAAACGGAAGTAGTCCCCAGTAAAATATGAAATGGCTATTGACAGAGTGAAAACGTCTGAGAGCTTCGATTTACAGGAAAAACCTGAAAAAAATCAAAAGGTAGTTTCTGACTTTGAAAATATGCCCACGTAACCCCTTGCGACAATTCTTAACTGAATCATATTTTTGTATATTTTATGGGCACCTGTGAAAAAAAAATGTATACTGACCTCACAAACCCGCTTAGCTCCATTATAATAAGATTATTGTCCACTCTTGAACCAATGCTTGCCCCAGTCGTTGTACATGTTATGTTAATGTCTTTTACAGAGCTCACTCTTATAAGCCCACAGTGTGGCGAGTAGGCTGGCAATGGCAAAACATTCACATTTTGCTGATGTTGATATCTTGAACCTTTACATGGGGTCTTAAATCACTAATGTGTTGATCTAAACACAATCTAGAGTATTCTATCATTTCATCAATATGTGGGTCATATGACCACGTCGTTACATTTTTGTTCAGGAAAACTCTGCAAGGGTGCAGTTTTTATAACTAAAAAGAAAAGAATGG